CTAGCTGTAACTAAAAATGAAGAAGACCCTGTCTTCTTTTTCTTCTTGCACAAAGAGAAAGGTAGAATAGGAGTAATGAAATCAATTGACAAGGTCCTAGAAACTAAAGAAGCACAAACTAAGTAAAAAAAATCTTAAAAAAAGACACAGGAAAAAAGCTGAAGAAGCATCTATATCATCTGCAGTCCAGTTAAAAACATTTGACAGCAGTATTAGTAATGAGGAGTTATTTGAAGAAAACTCTAGTGTTTTGGGAGGATATATATCTCCATAGCCAAAGAAGTGAATAAGGACCTCAAGAATCATAGTCACTGGGTCACTATTAACGGCTTTAGATAGCTCTAAAGTTTTTAACAGAAATGCAGTGATTGTGTTGACAGAAAAATCTAGAGCCTTTGAACAAAATGTAAAGGAGATGAATACTAATAGGTTATCCATTCATCATGAGCGCAAATTTAAAGCAGATGTTTCTTTGGTTGTTCATTGGTATGGCAAGTTAATGCAAAATTTGACAACTAAAACTCATGTTGATGTTCTTAGTGAAAGACCCAGCTCATGAAAGAATCATCTTGGAATTCAGTCAGCTTTGTCTAAAGTATTTTGTCAGCTTTATCTAAAGTATTTTGTCAGATTTGTCTAAAGTATTGAAGTTATCAATTTTAGTCAGAGTTCCTGATTGTAAAAAAAGCACACAAACAGCTGGACAAAAAAATGAAGAGTGATGCTTCCATTACATCTGCTCAGTTAGCATGTAATTTGTATTTTTTTATTATTAATCCAACAAATTTTATTTATATACTAATATTAATTTTATATGTATACTAATATTAATTTTATATATATATAAATATAAATTTTATATATATATAAATATAAATTTTATATATATATAAATATAAATTTTATATATATACAAATATAAATTTTATATATATACTTATATAAATTATATATATATATATATATATATATATATATATATATATATATATATATATATATATATATATATATATATATATATATATATATATATATATATATATATATATATACAGTAGCTTTCATAAATTTAGACGCATTCATTTTTTTTTTCATATATGTAAGAAAATACTCAAAATAAAAATAAAATAAAAGTGCTACCGCTATGTTTGATATATAATTTAAAAGAGGAAATGAAACTCTTTTATAGAGTACCTTAATTTTTTTTACAGGATGTTTATTACACCGATTAACACAAAAAAGTTAATTGATAAACTTGATTTTATTTTGTTCATAAATTTAGACGCACAATTAAAAAAGTCTTATATCTTGTTAATTGATAGTTAATTAGTAGTTTTTTTCTTATATTTCTCATTAATAGGCCTAAATTAATTGATTTTGTCAAAAAACCTTATATGAATATGACTTACCTGGAAATAGTTAATCATTATTTAATAAATAAACAAAAGTTAAGTTAGTTTTGTACTAAAAAAACGTAAAAAATGGGCAAAAGACGTATCACTCAAGGTGAAAGATGGCAAATTATTGCGCACATCAAAGAAGGAACCAAAAGTAATAGAGAAATCGCCAAGTTAATTGGAGTTTCGGAGAAATGCGTTCGGATGCGTTCAAAACTTTCTTCACACTGGTGGTGCCAGCGAGAAAACGAGGCCAGGTAGACCCTTGTCAACCACCAGAAAGGACGATAGTGTTCTTTTTAGAGCTGTCAGAGCTAATCCAAGAATTAGTTACAAAGAATTGACCACAGAATTCAATACAACGCGAAATACATCTATTTCTCAAAGCACAGTCCGCCGAATACTTATCAAATACAAGATTGGAGTCTACACTGCTTTGAAGAAACCGCTTCTGCGTCCATATGATAAACAAAGGAGACTAAAATGGTGTCGTGAAAGAAGGTATTGGACAATAGATCAATGGGAAAACATTATGTGGAGTGATGAGAGTAACTTTGAGCTTATCAATCGCAAATCTAACATAACAGTCAAAAGAATGGCTCACGAAAAGTATTACGCCAGGTACATTAGACCAACTGTACAAAGTGGAGGAGGCTCAATAGGAATCTGGTTATGCTTCAATTACAAAGGTGTTGGTATGTGCCAAACATACACCGGAAGAATCAACTCCAGAATATACGTAGAAGTACTGGAAAACAACCTAATTCCATCAATTGACCGGCTTATGCTCAATGATAAACCATAGAAACTTCAACAAGATAGCGCTACTGCACATACTGCATACTATACAAAGGAGTGGTTCAACGATAATAATATTATGACAATACTGTGGCCTCCATATTCACCTGATTTGAACCCGATTGAAAACATTTGGGCTTGGATTGATCATGAATTAGCAAAGGTTCAAATTTCCACACTTGGTCAGCTGAAGGAATTCCTTAAGGAGACCTGGTATGGGGTCCCAGAAGCGATGTGCAAAAATCTTGTTGAGTCTATGCCTAGAAGAGTTCTTAGTTGTATTAAAGCAAAAGGCGGATACACAAAATATTGATTGGTTCATAAATTACGCCTTCTAATGTATCGTGCGTCTAAATTTATGAATAATTTTTTTTTGTCTAATTTTTTTAATACCATGTAGTTGTATCTAATTATTACTTAGTATTTCATTTTTTTTGTAAACTTTTTTTAAATTTTGTATTCTGTATGTATTTATCTGATAAATAGAAAAAAAACTAAACCGAAATCTTTTTTTGTCATTGTTTTATCGTTAAAAAACTAAAAATTTCTATTCTCAAATATGAGTGCGTCTAAATATATATATATATATATATATATATATATATATATATATATATATATATATATATATATATATATATATATATATATATATATATATATATATATATATATATATATATATATATATATATATATTATATATATATATATATATATATACTATCCTTATAGTGTAGTCGAAAGAGTCTTAATGTAAGAAAAGTCTCTTTCGACTACAATTTTAATTACCTCGTCTCTTAAGCTGTATTTGATTGTCGTCGAAATGTCAAAGCAATTAAATTAATGCGGAAGTACATTAAATTTTATTATTTTTTAAAAAATTTTTAAAAAACCGCAATAATAACGACTAGAAAGTTTTTTTTTTAATCAGTGGTGTTTTTGTTTTTATTTTATTAAAAAACATTTTTAAAACATGCGTAAATGTTGCTACATCAACTATCTTATAGCCTGCTACTACAAGGGAGCGTTTCTACATCGACTATCTTATAGCCTAACTCGCAACAGAGTGCTGCTACATCGACTGACAAATAGCCTGACTCGCAAGGGAGTGCTGCTACATCGACTGACAAATAGCCTGACTCGCAAGGGAGTGCTGCTACAACAACTGACAAATAACCTGACTCGCAAGGGAGTGCTGCTACACCGACTGAGGGTTTAGTTTGGGCAGGCACATTATCATTTAAAAAAAATTTTAAGTTTTTAAACTTTTTCTGGTCTGGTTTATTAACGCGCTCTTTAAAACTACAGTTTATGGGAAACTCTTTCTGACTACCATGCAAGAGTATATATATATATATATATATATATATATATATATATATATATATATATATATATATATATATATATATATATATATATATATATATATATATATATATATATATATATATATATATATATATATATATATATATATATATATATATTAGCTCTCAGAAACACATATAACATTTTTTCAGAACATTCAAAAGGGTAAAAATATCAAAAAGCGTGATAAAAGAGATTGTTTGTCTTTATAAAAGAAAATTTGCAACAATTTAAATTATTAATTATTTAAAACATCACAAATGTGGTTGCAAGGTGATATATTGTACCATAAAATGTTTTAAGGAAACTGGAGATAAAATTCTACCAAAAAGAACAGGAAAAAAAAAGTGGTTTATACTAAAAAAAATCATAAAGGTTATTTGTGAAAGAATTAAACAAAATCCTGCTAGATCAGGAAGATCAATTGCAAAATAATTTGGAACCGAGCCCAAAACCATCAGAAATTTGATTAAAACAGACTTAGGTATGAGAGCTTATAAAAAACAATTATCTGCTGGTCTGAAAAACAGAAATATAGTATGTTAAGAGTTGTAAAATGATGCAAAGAAATCGCATGGTGGCTTACCAATAATTTTTTATGATAAAAAATTATCATGTTTAAGTGCCCCCTAAACAAACAAAATAACAGGGCTTATGGATTAAGTTTGCAAGAGATCCCACGTAATGTAAGAGCTATTCCTACATTATGCGGGATCATTTAAATTTGGGATCAATAATTGAGTTTTTTCAATAATAAAGTTTATATGTGTATCAAAGAAAAAGGAGAAAGATTTGAAATCAATTAACTTGCATTATATATTATGTAACTTAATGTGTTCTATATGATAAAACAACACTTGATTTTAGAGTTTTTTTAATAAAAAATTTTTTTAGGGGTGTCTCAAAACTCTTGAGCATTTAAAGGGTCCATAATATTATTAAAAAAAAAGTTTTTTAAAAGTATGTCTTGTAGTGTCATAAGTCAGGCGAAATAATATACAAATTTCAAAATTAATAATCATTTTATAAAAAAAAACATAAATTATTATCAAAAAATTGAGAAGAGAAAAATTATCAAAAAATTGTGTAAAAGATCAATATTTTCATTTTTATTTAAAAAGTTACTATTCAGTAAAGTTTAAAATAATAATTCATATATATATATATATATATATATATATATATATATATATATATATATATATATATATATATATATATATATATATATATATATATATATATATATATATATATATATATATATATATATATAGATATATATATATAGATATATATATAGATATAGATATATAGAGTGTTCCATGTTGTTAAAGAGCAGATCAATAATAAATTAGTAAAAAGAATATAGAGACACATACAATACTTGTATAAAAAATAAACAATAATAAATGTGATTTTTTTTACCAGACATAGATCTTTATCTTTACTTTTCTTTGAATTTTTTGCATTATTTTTCTAAATAAATGTTTATAAAGTACTTTGAAAGAAAACAAACAACAGATTATTTAAAAAATATGAGTTCTTATTATAAAATTTTTTATTAGTTTTTAATAAAAGATGTGTAATGTGTATTAGTTGTTCTATTAATTGCAAAATTTATTAGTTACTCTGTTAATTTATTAGTTACTCTGTTAATTGCAATATCTATTGGTTATTCTGTTAATTGTTCAATTTAAATTTGTTCAAATATTCTTTGGCAAAATACTATTTAAAAAGACACTTGATTAGAAGTATTTTTTTTTTTTCTAAGAAAAGACTTGAAAAAATATTTTACAGACACAAAAAAAAAAAAAGTTATACACAAAGTAAAAGAATATTATCCTTTTAAAACTTATTTAGAGAGAACTTTTAAAACTGAATAAAACAGTAGTAGAAGAGTTATGATGCTGATATCCATATATGATGATTATCAGAACATTATATTTAAAGCAATATATATACAATTTTTTAATTAAAAACTCTAAGGCCTTGTTAATATTGAAAAGATAAAAGAATAATTTTACTCAAAACTAATTTATCTACAAAATAAATATACCTAATTATTTAAAAAATGCTTTGAAAACTAACTACCTTAGATAGCCGTGAGATAATTGACATTTTATTTTTTCCAGGAACACTTCGATAACTTTTTTCTTTCACTTTTTCATCATTAGGTTGCTTAGAAGAAGCTAGAACAATCAAACATTGAGAGAACATTTAAGATTGGTTTTAAAATAAACAATGAACATTGAAACATACCAGGAGATTCTCCTTTAAGAGCTTCATAGTAAAGTGATACATAAGCTATAATAGCCAGTTTATCAGGAACAGCTTGTCTAACTAAATCATGACCAGAGATTTTTGGAGGGATACCAAAATATTCTTCAGCTATTGCAAATGCCTAATGATAACAAAATAATGTTCTATTACACTTTTACTTTATCTAAAATATTTGAATAATTTTTTTTAAGTAGAAATAGTAAAAAAAAATAGAAACTTAGACCTTTGCACAATTTTCTTCAACTTCTTTAAAATTTAATGCGGAATAATCTCTAAATAAAAATATTTAATAAAACTTATTTTAAGATTAATTTAAGAATTACTAATGAAATATTTATGTAATACACAATATAAATAAACAACCTGGTTTTAATGTATAATCTCTGTATACAACAAATAAATTTATTTAAAAATAAACATGTTTTCAAAAATTTTTACATCAAAAATTTTTAGAAATAGTGCATATGACATAAAAAGCAGCGTTAAAAGCCATTTGTTAAGAATATTTTTAAAATGTTCAAACAAAAAAAAAAGTAGTTTACTTTAAAGTGATCCCAAACCTCCGAGACATGTTGTGTTCATATTAAAGTGAATTAAAAAAAAAATGTTTGGACTAAATTTTTTTGATTAAAACAAAAGAATAAACGCATACCAAGAAAAACCAACTTTTTTATTTTAGTTGAAGCTTGCTTTCTCCATTTTGTTGTAGGCCAAAAAGTCAGCATAATACATGCTGCAATCTACAGACTTGATAATTTATTCAAGCGCGTTTTATTTATTTTATTTCTAAGAGTTTCAGTACATAATGTCATTGATTTTTTTGTTTGTGTAAAAGATCGATTATGTAAACAAACAAAAAAGTCAATGACGTCATGTACTAAAACTTTTAGGAATAAAACGCGCTTGAATAAATAATCAAGTCAGTAGATTGCAGCATGTATTATGCTGACTTTTTGGCCTACAACAAAATGGAAAAGGCGAGCTTCCACTAAAATAAAGAAATTAGTTTTGCTTGGTATTTATTCTTTTATTTTAATCAGAAAAATATAGCCCAAACATTTTTTTATCATTCTCCTTAATATGAACACAACATGTCTCGGAGGTTTGGGATCAATTTTAAGTAAAAAACAATTATTTCACTACAAAAGAAGCTAAAATACAAGAACTCTTCTGATGGTGGTTGTGAAGATGAAGAAGAGTTAGATAAGCTTCTCAGTCCTGGTCAAGGAAAGAAAACAAAAGCAAAACCAATAAACAATGCAGATAAAAAACCAAAAGCTTTAAATGCTGACTTGAGCCATAACTTTTATAGATCGCTTTAAATGCATATTGTGGACTTAAACTGACAAACTGAGAACATTCTTTTCAGTTATTGACAAATTCAAAACAAAATGTTTCAATCAAATTGAAATGCTTTTGATAAAAGTTTAGTGAAGTCAAAACATTTTGTCTGACATTTATCAACACATCAAGAACAAACCTGTTAAATTTAGTATCAAATGTGGAATATTGCAGAATCAAAATCAGAATTTCAATGTTAAAACACAAAAAAGTACAAGTGATAAGAATGCTCGTGGCTTGGCTTATGATGTTATTACTGAATTAATTCCCTGCTCATCATGAATGAGAACATCATGTGTATTTTGATAACTTTTAAATGTCAGTTCACCTAGTAAATGCTTTGCACAAAGAAAATACTATTTTAGACAAAACAGAAAATCACAAAAAATTTACCTAGAGTATGAAACATCGGCTTAAAAAAACAAGAGACATGGGTTAGTAACGCAATAATAAAGTATTAGATTTAATTTCTTAAAATTTAACCTTTATGCTATATACTTTTATTATATAATTAATTTACAAAGATTGTTATTGCCTAAAAATTAATTTTTGAGGTAACTAAGGAAATAAAAAAATATTATATAGGAAAAATCATTTAAAAAACTGTACCCTTTATTGTAAAGTCAAAATTTTACACATACCTAGAATTAAAAGTTAAAATAATAAATTTTACAAAGAAATTATTTTCCTTCTATAATTCTTTGAATAAACATTTTAAGGGCTATACATACATGATATATATATTTTATAAAGGCTAGGTTATTTCAAGTTGAAATAAAACATTTTTAACTAAACATCATACATGTAGGTAATGCGTACATATGCTGTTTTGGTTATAAACATGTAGGTAACATACATATGCTGTTTTGGTTATGAACATGTAGGTAATGTACACATGCTATTTTAGTTATAAACATGTAGGTAACCTATATAAATTAATAAAACAAAAATTATATATCTCAATCAGATAGCATCATAAAAATTCAAATTAAATGCAACAGAAATTGAGAGCATACTTTTTCACATTCCACAGCACAAAATAATTATGAAGTTATTTGGTGAGATGTAAGATTTAAAGAACAAAAGAAACTAAGTGTTTAGAGCTGTACAAGCAAACAGTTATGAAAATTAGGAATGTTGGTGAAGAAAATTATAAAAAGAACTAGATGAAAAAAAACTTTATAAAAAATTTTTTTTTGACATCTTTGCTTCCAACAAGGCTGCAAGCAACCACTATTAGAGTTGGAAATTACTGGAAGAGTAAAAGATTGAGATTGTAGAGCAAGATAAAAATTGACAGACAACTTAAAAGATTGCAAATTATATGAATCGGGAGAGCAAGATGAAGGAAGCGAATTCCAAAGAACTGATGTTCGAGGAAAAAAACTAGAGGAATATGAATTTTTAGAGTATTTAAGAACAGTCACAGAAAAAGGACAAGACTTAATTGAATAACATGTAACACGAGAATGAATTTTAGTAGATGGCACAAGAGACACTAGCTCTTTAGAATAGTGCCCATTATAGTATTTGTAGAAAAGAGAAAAAGAAGCAACATTATGATGATGTGATAAAGGTTGGAGGTTGGCTGCAAGAGCAGGTCCAACTATGTTTACAATGCGTTTTTGCACCTTGTCTAAAAGGAATAGGGCATCATTAGAAGATCCGCCCCAGATATGGCAACAGTATTCCATAAAAGGCCAGATTTGAGATTTATAGAAATCGAGAATAGAATCTAATGTAAAAATGTGTCGAGCTAGATAAAGAGATGCAACCTTAGCAGATACTAATTTTGCAACAGATTTGATATATGGTTTCCAAAAAAGATTGGAAGTAAGAGTTAATCCTAGAAGATCAAGGATAGATGACTCATCGAGTACATTACTGTTCATAAATATAGGAAGGTCAAATTTAATGCAATAACGATTGACTGAAAATAAATTGAGTTTTATCTGGATTAAAGTTCACCAGCCACTGTGAACCCCATTATATGTAGCAGAAGTGAGATACTTTTCAATCTCAAATGTCTCCTCCAAGCAATCAGAGAGTGCTGGCTTCTTGTCATGACAAGAATAAATGGCAGTATCATCAGCAAACAATGGCAGTATCATCAGCAAACGTAGAACAAGAAGATTGAAATCCATATTGATGATCAGAAAGTAAGTTATTAGATTCAAGATGAGAGATTAATTGTTAGTTAATTAAAGATTCAAAAACCTTGCTTATAATAGGAAGAAGACTAATGAGACGGTAGTTAGACGAATCAGATTGCTCTCCAGAATTTTTTAAAATAGGGATAACAGATGCTGCTTTCCAGCAGGCTGGAAAACAAGACTCTGATAAGCACTTGTTGAATAGTTTTGAAAGGATAGACGGCAGCTCCGAAGAACACTTCTGCAAGACTATAACAGGTATGTTGTCCAGGCCTCAAGCTGTAGAAGAGTCTACGCAGGAAATCACTTTAGATAAAGAAGCTGGAGTGATACAAATGTCAAGCAATGGATCAAAGCAATAGACAGCTATATCAGGTAGAACGCAATTAATAGACTCAAGAGATGATATTAATGAAAAGTTCTTAAATGATTCAGTTTTGTCTTTAAGTGAGGTGACAAAGTCTGAACCATACAAAAGAGGTGGAATTACAGACTTGCTCTTATTATTGATACTATTAAAGATTCTCAAGAAGTCACGAGAGCCTAGTTTTTGTGATGACATAAAAGATTTCATGACTTGAGAATAGGGACATTGTCATTAGACAAAACCTTTTTACTATCAGTAATAAACAGTAGTCTGTTTTCTGGAGAATTTTGCTGATAGATATGGCAATAAAAAAAAAACGGTTTCAATAACAATATTGGCTGATGAATTAAGAGAAATGGCTTGGTCAATTTAATCAGAAATAACATCAAAAAGAGTGCAGTCTTAAGATGAAGGAGAGCGATATAGAACAAAGAGAAAGGCGATAGAGTGAGGTGGTACTAAAAGAAAGCACATAAAAAAATAGTCTGAGGATTCAAACTTAGTTTCCTGACAAATGGGTGAATTCTTACGAATGTAAATGTTCAGGCCAAGCATGTGATTATTGGAGTCTTTACGAATTAAAGGAAGATAACCATTAACACTAAGATCACAAGATGAGACAGCTGAACTCAAATTAGTCTCACAAAGAGCAAGTAGGTCTGGTGAACTTTGCAAGAGATAAGACTCGACAGAAGTAAAGTTACTTCAAAGACCACGAATATTAGTAAATGATAGGTTTAGAGAACTTGGTGATGACAATGGTTTTTTGTGTTTTATAGTTTTTGATACTTTATTCATTTTTAAATTTGTTAAAAAACTTGACATGAAGTATAGATAGTACTCAGTACACTTTTTAATAGCCCAAACAATTGCCTTATTACTATTAATAAACCCCAAGCCTTAACAAAGGGCACCAATGTGGCCTTGGCAATGCACACCAAAAGTACAAACAGGGACACCATCCATGTGCAACATGGCACTGTTAATACTTTGATATTTTTCAGCTGTAAATGGAATCAGCCTCTCTGAGAGCTACCACAGAGTTCAGGAAACCTGACTACCAGCCGGCCTCAGAACCATAAAACTGAGTTTTAGTGCTGTATGTTCATTAGGAGATAATAGAATGAGTTATAATCATAAAAACAGAAGCACAAGCAAAACCCATGCATTGAGTCAAGAAGATCCAACATTCAACATCCTAAACTGGAAACAATCTATTATAAATACATCTGCGCCAGCCTAATGGATGAAGAAGGGGTGCGAGGCAGGTCAACAGAAAGAATCTGTTTACCCCTTAAGTCGTTGCCTAGGAGGCCTTCTACAAGACAAGAGCCAGATGCATTTAACATCTGCCCAAGATGAGTATTTTTATCGAGACACCATCTCTAGTCTTCATTCAACCAAGAGCCCTAAGGCAGGGGGTGTTTTTTGTGGGAGTTGGCATCTCCTAGCCTTTGCCTAAAAAGGCATATCCTACAAGGCAGCAGGACATGAAGCAGATTGTACTGGGTTACATGTTACCAGTAGCAGGATAACCTGACCTGACAAAAGCAGGATAACCTGACCTGACTAATTGAGGTAAAAAATAACGATAGTAGATCATTAAAATCACTAAAGAGTTTAAGACTTAAGAAGATGCAGTGATAAGGTAAATAGACCTACTGATTTAAATAATATTCTGAAATGATTCTGTACTGAAGTAAAATCAGCTATTTAGATATACATACATTCTGGTCTTTCTGATGTATTAGCTAATATGTTGTAGACTTTGGGGGGGATGTGAGTGTTCAGTGTCATATCCCAAATGATTAAAAGAAAAAAGACAAAAGCAAAGAAGGTGGTTTGTATAAAGAAATAAAATTGCTCGACCAGGTAAAAGATTTAAAAAAAAGATTATTGTCAAAAAAAATAAGAAACAGTGTGTTTATCCATAACATGCAGTTTGGTTTTAGGCCATTAAAGGTAACATATGTAATATTTAAATTGAGGCAAGTTTAAGAAACATTTTTGGAAGAGATAATAAACTTTTACCTTAAGTAGTAAAACACTGAATATAAAAATTCCTTTACAAATAGGGTGAGAGATTCCAAATAGGAATTCACTCTCACAGAAAGCAGTAAATGCAACATACGTTTCTTTTAAGCATTTAACTTTATCTGCTGCTTAAAAAGTTTGATTCCTGGTTGATTACCATGCCTTGGTAGTACTGCACTCAACTTATTTCTCTACGCAGCAGTCTTGTTCATCAAGTTTTGTGTATTAAGTTAAAGAGTTAAGAGTAGGTTGTAACCACAATAAAATAGACTTCTCAACTGTAGTGGACTTGTCAGCATTGGGGAGATGAATAAAATTTAAAAAAAAAAACATATCTGTATCAACATAAAAGATTCTGATGCAACTTTGAATTGTCTCAAATTTCCTAAATTTTCATAAAATTTAATTGATCCTCGGAATTAGAAAAAATGAATCAATCTTTTTAAGGTCGGCATCAGGTCGGCAAAAATTATTTGACACAAAGGTCTGACCATAAAACATAGAAACAAGGTCGGCAAAAAATTACCGACCTCATACACTTTCAGGTTGGCAGTTAGGTTGGCATTGCCGAATGCCGACCCTAATCCGAGGGTTGTATGTATATATATATATATATATATATATATATATATATATATATATATATATATATATATATATATATATATATATATATATATATATATATATATATATATATATATATATATATATATATATATATATATATATATATATATATATATATATATATATATATATATATATATATATATATATATATATAACAGCTTTGCTAGTACCAGTTACAGCTATTAATATCAAGCCTCAAGACATTATTTCTTATATTTGCAAAAATATCTTTGCTAGTACCAGAAGCAGTTACAGCTATTTAAATCAAGCCTTAAGACATTATCTCTTATATTTGAGAAAACATCGTTGCTAGTACCAGAAGCAGTTATAGCTAATAATATCAAGCCTTTCACATTTATGCAATGTGTGGAAGTAGTTTGGAATTGTGTTTCAACGGAGTCCTGGCCATTTTTTCTCAAATATGTAAAAATATAATTTCATGCTTGAAGCAGTGTCTTGATAAATTTTCTTCATAATCCGGTGTATTTGGCAAATTCTATACTTCTTGATATCCAATTTAACAATTGAAGAACTTGTGCAGATTTAATACCAGCGCTATGATATTAATGATTCAAGTCGCTATTAGATGAAAACCACTTTAAAGAAGATCTTTTTCTATAATCACGCTCACCCAACAAGTGTTGGGTATGCATGTTTTAACTAGTGGAAAAGCTTAAGAATTTTCTGCATATGCATTATAATACCTATTTCAAATTAGGTAATTTTAGTCTAATGTATTATTTTTGGCCAGTTATCTAATATATGGAAAAAAACACATAAAAATTTAAATTTTATTTATAAGCTAAATGTTTTTTTTCCTCATTTGCTGGAATTTTATATAAATATAGAAAAGAGTCATGCAAAAAAACTATTGAGGCATTGCGACAATTAAGAAATTATCATAAGGTGCTCTCAAATAAAAAAATACAAACTTACAATGGAGTCGTTTTTGGCGGAACACCCTAATAGCAAATAAGAGCAAGAAAATGTTGTGTTAGCGCATATGCTTCTAAAAATAATGCAAAAAAAAAGGAAAAATGAAAGGAAAGGGTTACCCGTGAACCTAGAATCTTTTTTATTTAAAAAAAATGATAATAACAGTTTGATATCTGCTGGAAAAATTTAGGATCAGATGATTCATCACAGTCAAGTGAAGAAGAGCTTGATTTATAATATTCATTTAATCAAAAAAATATTCATACATATATATATATATATATATATATATATATATATATATATATATATATATATATATATATATATATATATATATACATATATATATATATATATATATATATATATATATATATATATATATATATATATATATATATCGTAATAACTATCAAAATAATTGTAAACAATTTATAACAGTTATTCATTATAAGAATCTTCTTTTAGCGAAAAGCTCAAAATGCTAATGAGATGCAAATTTTTTGTTTTACAAAACTGAGTTATTTTATTGAACCCATCATCTCAAAAAAAATTTATTAGCTATAGAAAGCAAAGAAAATCATTTAAAGAACCCATCAACAAAACAAAATGACAAAAACAAATATTTTGAGTTAGTTCTATTTTCAAATACTAAGTGCTGGAACACGCTTTGCATATGGGGACCTCATTTTTCTTTTTAGTTTTCATTAACTAGTATAGAGTTGGTAAAAAAAGTAATTCAATAACTTTTAAAAAGGTATTTTAAAAAGTAATTCAATAACTTTTAAAAAAATTATGAGAAAATAATTTATTAAAAATGCAAAATTTTAATTTAATTTTTAAAATGTTTCTAAAGTAATTCCGAGGCATGCTGTAAATGGAATATATATATATATATATAAATATATATATATATATATATATATATATATATATATATATATATATATATATATATATATATATATATATATATATATATATATATATATATATATATAATATTTATTTCATATATATATATACACATACATACTTACAAAAGGTCAGGGCGGTAACGGTTTACAATAGCACAAAAAGCCAAACCATTCTTCCATGACTCACTCATATCTGTCATGCTTATATTAGGATAGCCATGTGTTTGTTCTTTACACCATGCTAACAATGTATCTGGATCAACTCCACTTTGTTTTGCTTAAAAAAAAATATTTTTTATTTATTTAAAATATTTTTTGCATAATAATATTCTTTCAAGTTAACATATGTTTTGTGTGTAAAAGATCATTATTGTTTAATAATTGTAAAATCCAGTGACAATTTAGTGACGCTTAATACAACACTTATCTAAAAAAAGTATTGCATAATTTTAACCATGTTATATTTTATTATTATAAAATGTTTATAAAATTTTATAATAACATGCTGTAAACCACTGAGAAAAACCTGTAATCAAAAAACCATCCGCAACTAGAACTTTTAACTTTCTCTTTTTTTTTTTTTTGTTAAATTTTTTTGGGCTTTAATTTTAAACCCATAATAAAATACTTAATAAAAAAAACAATTATTAAAATGAAAAGAGAATTTAAAATAAATATTAGAAATTTTTCTTGTCAACTGTAAAAGCGTAATTTTAGTTGCAAAAAGTATGATATGAATTATGTGATGATTTTTGTGAAAATCATTTAATGCTAATGTGAAAAAGTAAATTCCAGTAAGACTAAATTTGTAAAAAAAGTATAAAATATCAAAATATATAAATATAATATCATTAGATTTGTAAAAAAAGTAAATATAGCATCATTAGATTTATTAAACTATCAACTACTATCAATAAATTATCGTTTTAGATTTTAGTGAACAGAAAATGGCATTTTCAACTAAAAATGAAAAAAGGAAATTCAACAAGATTTTTGATAAATTTTTTTCTTGATACTTTTTACAAAATGATTCATATGTTTGAAATTTTTTTACAATTTTGCTACATTTGAGACCCAGCATGACATACTTTTGAAAAACATTATTTTTTGATAATTTTAGAGACCCATTTAATGTTTAAGGGTCCATAGCAACCCCTGAAAATTTTTTTTATTAAAATCTTATTTAAATCCAGTATTATTTTATTATATAGAACACATTTAGGGGGATGCCAGCAGACATTTCCAAAAAAAGTTGTGACGAATAGTCAAAAATGCAAAAAGGAACATTTAAGTATTATATCCAGACAAGAAAAAAGAAAAGTTTGTTTTATTAAAAATAAAACAGAGCCCACCAGAAACTCTTTAAAAAGAGAGAGTTTTTTAAGTTTTGATTGTTCTGAAACTTTAAGAGCATTTTAAGTAGAAAAAAGTTTTTCCGTCACATTAATACTCTAGAATCTGTCAAAGGTGGTGTAAATGGTACCCCATTAAGTTTAAACAAGCAGAATATACAGCATATACATTTCTTATAAATAACTCTTGCGATACTGAATCTTCCAATGTTTCTCTTTATATTCCTTAGAAAACAAGTGTGAACACAAAAAAAGGCCCTTAACAATAACCCCAAGATTGCAATTTTAAGTAACACAAACACAAAATGCAGAAAATATTAAACACACAAATAAAGTATGCATAATGAAACTATTTAAAATAAAAAATGACAACATATAACAATAACTATATAAATTTTGAAATGTTTAAAAAAAACACTTAAAATAAAGTAAACACAAAATTAACAAATTATAAATAGTAATATTTTGATTAAAAAAATTAATAAAAAATTAAATATTAAAAAAAAAAACTTCTTGTTTTTGAACCATAATAAAAGAAGTATACAAAAAACAATTCTATAGAAATTGATGTCTTTTGATATCATGTGTTGTGATAAATAAAAAATTTGGAGGACTTAATAAATGTTGAAGAGATATTAAATGGTGAGGAAGTACTACAAATAGTTTTAATAATGAATAAAAAAAAAATTCTTTTAAACTTATTTTACTGTTGATAAATTATTTTTTATTGTTCCTAGGTACAAAGTAAATATTTCTTGTTATATCTCAAATATATAGAAAAAAGATGTTGTTCAACAATAATTTTCCAGAACTTTAAACTTTCAAGAACATTTCAACAAACTTTCAATTCCTGAGCAAGAGAACATAATTTTTTAGGTAAAAACCTTTTAATGACATCAAGAAATTGTTTGCATGCAGCAGATGCACTTTGGTTCATGTGTGGACAATTTAAAGTCAAAAAAGTGAAAAGAACTTACTTCTCTATACTTTCTGTTTATCTATCAGAGTAAAAGGGTTAAGGGAGGCTTGGAACAAAAAAAAAAAGTAAGCCTACATGACTGAAGTGGCCTCCTCTGCTTTGTGGAGATAAATGATGTGGTAATGAAAAAATAAAATATTAGACCTACAGTGCATACTTTTGTATGCATATTAGACCTACAATGCATACTTTTGCATGCATATTAGACCTACAATGCATACTTTAGCATGGGATCAAAACAAATCCTAGGTATCCTTATTTCACACATAAATAAACAACAACTTAAAGTTAAAGCATACATTTGTGGCTCACTTATACAGTGCTTTATGTTGTAAAACTTTTATGACATATCTTACACAGTTTAAGGGTTTGTTATTCACAAAATTTTCACTTATATCATTACATTATGTTAATATCATACCCAATATTAAGTAATGTTTAAATTTTTCTGCTTTTAAATGTATAAAATTAGTTATATCTATGTTTCAGGGTTGGTACAAAAGAGCCATAAAGTTAGCTTCTGCATGGTAGATCCTACCAAACATGCTGCTAGCAAGAATGTGCCAGGCATTCCTTCTGAACAGAGCAGAGAAGAGGGCAGAGAGCAGCTATCTTCAGCAGACAGCAGCAAGTTATACAGCAAGGAAGGTATTGTAGATCCAGAAAACAACATCACAGATGCAGTTGAGGAGAGAAGATCATACTTCTTGAACCAGAAAGATATCAAATATATTAAATCAGATACCAAGTTCTATGCTGTTCTTCTGACATTCCGGCTTAGCAGCACAATGGCTCTTTAAGAAATTAATTAGCAAAAATTTGTCACAAATCTAAATTGTTTAGTTTCTGTATCTTAATAAACAATTCTTTTTGATATGTGTAAATAACTTTAAAATTATGTTTCTTTATAAATAAAATTTATTTAGGATGACTTCAAAATAATTTGCTTTGTAATTGGGTAAAAGGTTTTTAATATTAAAATCAACTTCAATTATTTGCTTCTTACCTTCATTTATCTTGGATGCTTTATTTTCTTCGTTTTTATGTAATGTTTCTAAACTAAAGTTGCCATCACTTTTATCTATTAAATGTCCAATCTGTTCTTTTTTGAATAATCGAGTATTTAAATTTGGATATCTAATGATGTAAATAAAATATCAAATATAAAATGAAATATAAACTCTCATTTTAAAAAATAAATGAATTCCATAATAAAAATTGAAATATATAAAAAATACGTTAGAGAATACATAAACTGATGGGTTAGGCTGTGGCCAGAAAAGATTAATATTAAAAAATATGCATTTTTTTCAATATTAATCTTTTCTTAAAAGATTTGTCAGTCTGCAGTCGAAAATACCAAAATTGGCTTCAGTAAATTTATAAATAAAGTTTTATATAAAACATCATTAAAAGTGTTTTATACAAAAAAATAACACTAGATTTAAAATGATTTTGAATAAAAAATTATTTAATAGGCCCCTCAAGACCCTTGAAAAAGTTCTTTCGAAATAGGTCAACAATTGTTTTTATATAATTTTGCTTCATTTAAGTGTCAAGTTGACCTATTTTTGAAGAACTTTTTTTTGTTTTCAATGATATTGATATATCATTAAAAAAAAAAAGTTCTTCAAAAATATGTTATGATTATATGTTAAAGAAAAATCATTGTATTGTTTTCATCCAATCCAATCCCTTAAAATGTTTTCACAAAGATTTTAAAGTTTTTTTTTTGTATAGAGCACTATTAGTGGATGGGAATGGGAAACTTTTTCTCAAAATTGTAGCTTTTGGTGAGGAGTCTTGGAGAGGTAAGTTTTATAAAAAATTGGAATAATAATTTTAATTGTATATATCACAGAGATCATTGATTTGTTAATAGTAGTGAAAAATATTAAAACTTATTTTTACTTATACCTATATATTTTTTATTTATTATACAGCAAAATAAATTAATTTGTTCATTATAAATTTATTTTGTTACATAATAAATGCAATAACTATTAAAGCATGAACGTACATGAAATGTGAAAGAAGAAGTACATCATTTTTTTTCAGTGGTTTTATTTAAATCTTTTTAATTGTTTTGTATTTTGTTTACAACGTGTTGTGGTTTTTTTTTTGCAACAACGTGTTGTGGTTTTTTTTTTGCAACAACGTGTTGTGGTTTTTTTTTTGCAACAACGTGTTGTGGTTTTTTTTTTGCAACGTGTTGTGGTTTTTTTTTTGCAACAACGTGTTGTGGTTTCAAAAAAGTGTATTAGTTTTTTGATTTAACTTAAAATTAGTTTTAAAAATGACAAAAGAAGAAGACCTAAGAGAAAAAATTATGCACAAATATTTGGAAAATCCTAATAGTAGCTACAATTTGATAGCAAAAACGTTGCAAATACATCCATACACCGTTAGTCGTGTAACCCAACGTTTTTCTCAAACAAAATTGATCAAATGTAAATCTGGTGGTGGAAGAAAGAAGGGTTTTAAAGTTAACAGTTTTAAGACTAACCCAAGCCTTTCACTAAGGGAGCGCGCAAACATTTATGGACTTTCTCATAGTTTTGTTGAAAAAGTTCAAAATAAACATGGTTTTCATTCTTTCAAAGCACAAAAAGTGCCCAACCAATCTGAAACTCAAACCTGCAGCAGAGGTAAAAACCTGCAGCAGAGGGTCTTATGACAATTTTATTTCTAAAAGTTTTTGTATTATCAAAGACAATGAAACTTATATCAAGTAGGATCATCAGCAAATTCCTAGTGCCGTCTATTATATTGCCAAATGTAGAGGAAAAGCAGATAAGAAATTTAAATACATAAAACATGACAAGTTTGCTAAAAAAGTCTTGATTTGGCAAGCTATTTGCAGTTGTGGCAAAAAATCAGCACCTTAAATTTCTCAGTACACACTTTCGGGTCAAATATATACTAAAGAGTGTTTACAAAAACACCTTTTACCTCTCATTAAATTGCACGATAAGAGACCTGTGTTCTGGCCAGATTTAGCTTAAATTCATTATTACAAACTAGCTTTGGAATGGTATTAAAATAATAATGAGAAATTTGTGCCTAAAACAGAAAATCCTCCAAACTGCCCAGAATTAAGAGTTATTGAAAAGTTCTGGACCATTATAAAAAGAAAAATGCATTATTGCAGAAATATTAAATATATAAAGATATTATTTAAAAAAGCATCAAATGGCTTCAATTCTTATTCTGTGCACAAGCTTATGGGTACCATTAAAGCAAAAGTTCGAAATTTTATTAGATTCCCACAGGAATAATTTGATTTTTTTTTTTTTATATTTGATCTTCTTATATTATTGTATTAAAGTTATTACTTGGTTGGAAATAAAAATTGAAGAGTACTTTTTTTAGTTGTTTTTCTACTTTCACATTTATTTCGTGTACACACTTTAGGTATAAATATGTTACAAGTTTAAAAAAATTTTATTTACAATTATCAAAATAGTTTTGTAACCACTGATTTACACAAAATCTTTTTTCAAAAGTCATTCTGTTGAAATTTCAACAAATAAACCCTTTGTATATATTTTATTTATACAAAGAGTTTATATAAAATAAACTTTACAGACAGATTATTATTCAAAATTAAACTGTATCATTTCATTTATTAAATAAACAAGGAAATTATTTTAAAAAATTTTACTAATTGACTGTGCTTTAACACTTATCAAGTTATAACTAAGAGCATTATTACAAAACTTTGAAAGTTTATATAGATAGGCTGGATTAAATCTTGTTTGTTTTTTTATACATCAAACAGAAAGACATATTTGTGGGCATAGGGTGTAAAAAAATCTATATTATTATCTATACTGTTATTATTAATTTCTTAAAATTATTTTGTTTAAGACATCACAAAGGTCTTTTATATACATCAAAAAATTAGAAAGGTAAGAACACTTATCTAATTTTTTTCTTCAACAACTTGTTTCACCATCAGTAGGTTGATAAGAAAGCTTCCTGGTGAACCTAATGATGGTGAAACAAGTAATAAGTAATTATATATATATATATATATATATATATATATATATATATATATATATATATATATATATATATATATATATATATATATACATATATATATATATATATATATATATATATATATATATATATATATATATATATATATACATACATACATATATATATATATATATATATATATATATATATATATATATATATATATATATATGTATATATATATATATATATATATATATATATATATATATATATATATATATATATATATATATATATATATATATATATATATATATATATATATATATATATTATTGTTATTATGACTATATTCAGGGTTGCCACTATAATACAAAATAAAAATCCCTGATTTTCTCTGATTTTTTCAATACAATTTTGCTTATTTCCCCCTGATATTTTTTATCATTTATACTTAAAAACTTAGGATTAAAACTTCAACATTAACCCCCAGACATGCTATTTTTACCCCCATCTTTTTTGATTATTAAACTCATTAAGCTTTAAGCACTTAAAAACAAACCTTTAAAGAGATGAAATCATCTTTAGGCACCTGTCTGATATGTCACTAAAAATTTCTGCAACAAACTAGCAATGTGACAAAAAAAAATTCAATTATTCAATGTGAATGTTAAATCATCTTTAATTCCCTTCAAGACTCTCATAACTCTTGCATTAAGCATTTATACTTTAAACTTGGCATGTTTTACACTTGGTTGAATTTTTATCTGTAATTTTTATATTTACCAACCATTTTTTTAACAATGGATCATTCAACCATTCCTTATTTTAATAAGTTGCCATTTAAAAATTTTCAATTTTTATTTATTCTAAAAAAAGAGAATATGGTTTTAAAAAAACTTATGCAGCTAAATTTCACATTTCTACATTAAAAAAATTTGAAAGTCTTCACATGTTGCAGCTAGTTCAACATAAAAACCTGATAAATTCATTTAAATTATTAATAATGATTCAACTTAAACCTGGCTAAATGTTTTACATAAATGTTTTGTTTGGTTTATACTGTAAGCAAATGATAAGAATAAAAGTTAATTTATTTTTTAATGATAAAATAATAATATAAATGAACAATCTTTTGAGCTATCTGATTATTTAATTAGTAGCCTAAAAAAGTAATATTATTTACTATAAAACATTTTTAAACATTAAAATAAAATAATACAAAATTAAAAGATTCCCTGATTTTTCATGTTTCAACTTAATCTTTTTTCCCTGATTTTCCCTCAACATATCTAAATTTCCTTGACTTTCTCTGAATTCCCTGATTTCCCTGAATTGGTGGCAACACTGTATATTAGAGTACTCTGTCATTTTTTATTTAGATATCACTGATGAAGAAATAACAATTGAAAGCCAAACTGATCACACAGAAGGCATTATCAAGGATGCAGAATAAACTACATGCATTAACTTGGAAATTTCAATTATGAAACTTTTTTCAGAATTATCTGCAAAGAGTAATATTAATATAAACTTACTTATATAAATTTAAGTCAGTTGTAAAATTAAAAATGTTAACATTTCTTTTAATGGATATATTTATTTAGGCTAGTTGCAGCTAAGTTTACATTTGGCTTGTTTATATGCTTGTTTATAATTGACTATTTTAGGGACGTGGCATGCAATATCACACTGTAAGTTTCATCAGTTATAAAATAAATCAGTTTTAAAATGTTTACTTGCATTTTTTTTTTTATGGATATTTATTTAGGGTAAAGTTTATATGTGGATTGTTTTTGTATATTTAAGTTTGCATAAGTTTGCTTTTATAATTTGCTATTTTAGACATGTCATGCTATATCACCATGTAAGTTTAAATTGGATGTAAAACTATTTTTTTTTTACTTGCAATTTTTTTATGTTAGTTACAACTAAGTTTATATATTGTTTGTTTATATTTGTATAGAACTTGCTACTTTAGACATGTGGCATTCAGGCATAAGGTATCAAATTTAAATTCTAATATTAATACTTTTAACTTGTTTATTATTATTAAATAGAAATGTGAGAGACTTTTTTTCTTTTATTCTTGACAACTATTGATATTTGTAAAAATTTTAGAACCTTTCAGTTAGAAGGTAGATTTTTTTTTAATATCTAAAAATCTAGAACTAATAAAATAATTTTTATTAGCAATTTAGAATTAAAGAATTGGCAACAATTGTTTCTTACAGGGTTATTAGTAAAAATTTATTTTTATTTTATATGATAGTATATCATTTATATTCAATATTTTCTTTATTGTGTTTTAAGGTTTGTTTATCTTTAAGGAATCAACAACAGGTTGCTGGAATTGAAATGTGCACACACATATGAACTTAAAACAGTATTTAAAATTGAAAAATAAAATGTCTGTGTTTATAATATGTCTGTGTTTATATAAATATTTTTTGACCTTGAATATAATAACTATATTAATAAAATATATATTTAAAAATTTTTTATATTTTTATTTAAGTTTTAATTTTTATTATAATTAAAAGTTTCTATATTGAAATAAATTATTATAAATATTTAATTAGTTTTCAATTTAAAAGTTAAAGCATTTTTAAAGCTAAAAAACTTTCCCAAAAGTTTTTTTTTCCCGATTTGTCAAATCGATAGTACTGCTTGTATCAGATCTTGAATATCATAATTAATTAATCTAGATATTAAAAATAAGGACTATTTTGTAATGAAATCTCAGTTCTATCTGGCTTAATTCCTTTTCTAATTTTAATAAAGGGAATAATAAATTATTCACTACAAAGGCATATTGAATCCTTTATTTTAACAAAATAGCAAAAGCCAAAAACAGCAAAAAAATAGTGTAATAATTCGTTTATTTTAAGGAATTGTTTGTTGCATGAATGGAATAAATCTGTAATTTTAACGGACATATATAGAAAAACCTCAATCCGTTAAAATTTTAATCCTCTAACATAACTGAAAATCTGCTGGTGCAATAGCGACAGATGCAGTTTGTTGTATATAAAGGATTTTTTCTTAGAGTGTAATTCATTTTTATATTCTATTTTGTATTTCTAGAATAAATTATTACTTTATACTGTTCTATAGCAACTGTCATTTGTTATAACTGTAATGGATATTTGTTATTGTCTTGCAGTGTAAGAGAGTGACTGCTTGTATTGAATTAATAAAACGTAAATCAAAATTAATTATATACAAATATGACACAAGCATAATTATTAACAAATATATCACAAACATAATTATTAACAAATATATTACAAGCACAATTATTTACAAATACAACACAAGCATAATTATTGACAAACATATCCCAAGACATTTTTAAGTGTCTGTATGCCAACTTTTATAGCAAAATACATAAATTTTCAATGGTATAGGGTTCAAAATAAAATATAAAATAAAAATAAATCAAAATTTTTTATGGTCAAGCCAAATGAGAATGATCACCTTATAAACAAAGTAGGGGCTAATCAATTTTACATGAGTTTTTCCCATACCTTATATAATAGCTTTTTTCTTTTTTTTTTTTTTTTTTTTGTACTTCTAAAAAAGTTACCAATTCAATGTTGTATCCATTGGTTTCTCTTTTTTAAAAACTATGGCACCATTTGCACAGTGTTATGAACTAGTGGCATGCCAAGTTCTTATGCACACTGTGAAAAATGTAATTTGGTAAAAATGGTAATTGAAAAATATAACTTTAAATATACTTTTGAATTAGTGAAGACAATTAAAAATAATGTAACACATTATTTATAGGTAAAAATAAAAAAAACCTGTTGACAACTTGTGGTTTATCTTAACCACACCCATATTATTAGTATAGTAATCTAATTTATCTTTAAATGTTAATTTTTTGTCAAGAATATATTTATATTCCATATAATTTTTTTGCCAAAAATGATATTGAAAAATATTTTAAAAAGAAGCACTAGTTAATATAAGTAATGGTAAAAATGAGATCTAAAACTTGAAATATCTCTTATCTAAAACCATATATTTAGTATGTCAATATTTATATTGTAAAACACCTTACATAATAGTTTGTGAATTTATTAAATGTTGAAATAACTTGTAAATTTGATTTACCTTGTAAATGGATCAATAGAGTATTTTTCATAAGGTTTCATTAATGTGTCTGGTTTTGTTTGTGAAAGTATATTAAAAATACTCTCACGTTCTTGAATTAAATCCATTGAGTCATGTCCAGAGCTAAATCCTTTAATCATCCATGCAACATCCATAGCACCAAGAAAACCACGTGCACATCCAGAACCTGTAGGCCAGAATGGCTGTAAAATATCATTGTTTAAATAAATCAATATGAGAAAAAACTTTAATAAAAAAATATTTGTATATTTTAGGAATTTTAATTTTCAACAAATACATTAAAAGCCCATTATTAAAATCATTTGAAAAAAAAAGATAATAATTATATTAAAAAAAAAAAAAAGATAATAAATACATAAAATAAATACATAAAAAAAAAGATAATAAATATATTAAATAAAAAAAAGATAATAAATACATAAAAAAAAGATAATAAATATATATATAAAAAAATAATACATAAAAAAAAAAGATAATATGTAAAAAAAAAAGATAATAAATAGGGGAGGTCGGGGGAATGGTGGCCCCTTAAGGTTTTTTGCCATTTTTAGGGTTGTATTATAATGGTCCGAGCTGTAACTATGGTAGAAGAATTACTACAATGTATATTATAAAATACTTTATTGGCAAGTACGTACAAAAAATAATTAATGTGTTATTACAAGAAAAAAATTAAACAAAATGACCAGTATGACCCCATAACTTTGGAGCAATTGTGGTAGCCTGGTCAGCATTACCCTAATTCTTTTGACGAATACGAATAATGAAAACAAGAATATTAATTATGAAAAATAAGTTTTATAAGAGTTTAAGAAAATAAGTTTATGAGTTTAAGAATTAATAAAAATCAGTAGTACAATATTACTATTAAATACAATAGTCACAAATATAAATATCGTTTTTATGGAGAAGATCTGTACAGTCTTTGTGGGCCCAGTCACCACATGCAGCACAGATTACCCACCATTCTTGGTTTTTACTGAATTCCCTAAAATAATTAATACTCTGACCAAACAATTATATGAAGACTTTTCTATTTTCTAGCCATTTTATACAGCCATGATTGCCCTGTATAAAATCATAACTCCAAAATGAATCAATTTTTATTAACAAAAATAAAAACATATTTGCAAATAAGAAGATACTTACATTATATATATTTAAAAACTAGAATAATTATATTTCATATTATTGGTATTATCTAGTCAACGTCTTTAACATTTATATACTTCATAGCACAATAATTATTTTTCTTTCTAATACGTAAATGACAGTTAACAACATAAGACAACTAGCGCCACTTATGTAGGAAGAACCAAGAACTAGCACCAATATTAGTTCTTCTAGTAGAACATAGGTACCAGTACAGATAAAAAACCTCACTTAAATTACACAAATATAGAAATATCATATGTCCATATATTACCCCAGAGGCCACCATTCCCCCAACCTCCCCTACATAAAATAAAAAAAGATAAATACATAAAAAAAAAGTTTATAAATATATATATAAAATAAAAAAGATAATAAATATATTTAAAAAAAAAAGATAATAAATACATAAAAAAGATAATAAATACATAAAAAAAAGATAATACATAAAAAAAAAAGATAATAAATATATAAAAAAAATAATAATAAATATATATATAAAAAAAAAAAGATAAATACATTAACAAATTAAAGATAAATACATTAAAAAAAAAAGATCAACATAAAATGAAACAAAGATACCTCTAGTAAAACATCTCCAGCAATACAAAGTAGTAAACGCTTTCCTTTTCTTTCAACTATTCTTGAAGAATATTCTGCTTGGTGAATTGAAGTGAAATCAAACATAGCAACATCTTCTTTTCCAGAATGATTTTTTGCAAAATTGTGATGTGGAAGCTGGTACTTAGTAGAAAAATCTGCTGCTTCCTTTGCATATTGCAACAATGCTTCATGACAAACATTTTCTTGTGATAATAGTTGAAAAACATCTTTATAATCCTAAAAACATGTTTTTTGATTAACCATTATCATTTTGCCTATATATATATATATATATATATATATATATATATATATATATATATATATATATATATATATATATATATATATATATATATATATATATATATATATATATATATATATATATATATATATATATATATATATATATATATATATATATATATATATATATATATATATATATATATATATATATATATATATATTTATATATATATATATATATACATATATAAACATTAAAAAATCTAAATGGCTGACACCTTTGCTACATTTTATAATAGTTTTTGTAAACACTAATCATTTAACACAAAAAAATTTGATTATAAATATTGAAAATTTTCGTATTAATAAGGTTCTATAAAACCGCCACAAAAAAAAACAACCAAGTATGCTAAACTGGGTCTCAAAAGATACCCAAAAAGATTTATTTACACATAAACATTTCTTTGCTATCTTTTTTCATATAAGCAGGAAAAGTTTTTCTCTTCCTTAAATTCCACAATATTAGTATAAAAGATAAAATAGGAAAAATATTTTCTGCTTCTTATCTCTACTCTGTCTAGTAGGCTGGCATAGATGTTAGCTTGTGCTAGATTATTTCCTGACTAGGATGATCAATTCTGAATCTCCTGATTCAATTCAAGGATTCTTGCTAAATCTTATTATAAAATGTATAAAAAGGAAGGTTTTTTAAAAATCAATTGAGTATTTTTTTAAGAGCATAAGAGTTTAAAACAACTTTTAGCTGAAAAATGATAAAAAACATATAAAGAGTAAAAAAACCAATAAAACAATCTTGAGTAAATTCACAGTTCAAAAACCAAACCGCTAGGTAACCTTTTAGATAATGTCATAGGTTTATGCAATCGAAATAAACTAAATCTAAACTACTTTGTGCAAAACAAAAAGTAAAAATTATTGTGTTAAAAAAATATAGTTCCTAAAAAAGATCTTCAAAGGTTAAACTTGAGTTAAATTGAGTTCTGGAACTCATTGGAGCAAAGGAGAATCCTCAAAGATATTTTTAAAGCAAATATTCCAAGATAAACTTATTTCTTTTCAAAAATGTAACTTTATAATAATTTACCTTGTGTTATATACAGTGGGTGATCAATAAATATAAATAAAAAGAGTTTTAAAAAATGAAAAAAAAAATCAAAAAAATGATTATTAATTTGACGCCGTCAAAGAGTTAATCAAGTATATTAACCCTTTGATGGCGAAATTTAATTAAAAAAAAATAAAAATGATTATTCATTTTCATAGTAAAATATATAAACATACAAAAAAAAAATTATGCACTACAGGCTTGGTCGGGAAGCGGGAGCGATCGCTCTCGATTGCTGACCACGTAAATAATATTTAGTTGCGAAAAGCTGGCCAGATTTTTTAGTCGTTTTGAGAACATTTTAAAAAGCAAAAAAAAAAGCGCAAAAGATTAATTGGACCGATGAGAGACAATTACACAAAAGAAAAAAAATTTGGGCAAATAAAATATCTTTAAACATGAAAAAACTTAAATCTAAATAAATTACGTTTAGAACAAATATTTTCGAAACATCGCTCTTTTATAATTTTTTTTATAAAATTAAGCAATGTTTTTTATATAAAGTAACAACTTACGATTGTTTAAAAAGGAAACAAATGCTCTTTATTTAGCAAAGTTTGCAAGTTTTAGTTTTACTTAAGCTAAATTATTTTATAAATAAAAAAGTTAATTTTTTCAATACCTATTCTATGTTTTGCCTAGTTTGAAAAGTTTAACATATTTGAAGCAATTCTTCTTAGTAAGATAAACAAATGAAATAATTAAATCATTGAACTACTATAGAAATTAAATTAACAAGATAGAAATCAACTAAAAAGGTTAAAAATACTTAATGACGAGGAAGCGAAACTGCTTCACAATATCGCTGATGATGTTTAGTGAGTGGGCTTTTTAATTTTAATTAGTATTTAAAGCAGAAAAAAGTATAACAAGTTTCAAGAATGGCAATTTAAGTGAAAATAATTAGAGTTAGTAAACCAATATATAGAAACTTTGCTTTGTATCTAATTATTTGCTATAAATATTTGTGTTCTGTCGTACGCGGTGCTTGTTCATCCGCGAGTTACTTTGTATGCATTGTTTGTGTTTAGTAACCAGAAACTTCTTATATGTTTGTTACATAATTAATTTTATTAATTTGGACGATTATAACTTGATTGAAAACACAAATATTTTTGTAAATCTTTGTTTAAATCATAAAAATTGCTTTAAAAGATATATTACGATAAAAAACAGATACACACAATTACATTTACATAAAGAATACATACTTTTTAAATAAAAAATAAGAATGTACTAATAAAATCTATAATTTATAATAAAGCTTTAAAATTTTGACAATTTAATTAATATATATTTAAAACATTTATTTTTATAAACAAATAATATATATTCTTAAAACAATTTATGCTAGAAATCTCTAAACGTAACAATTCGTGAATAATACAATTTCTAAAACATTTCAACAGAATACTCTAGAACTTTATTTCCATAAGTCAGAGTATTTTTTGAATTAGTTTATTTGTTAATTTGGTGGGTTTTTAGTGTTCGCGAATATTCGTTTTATTTTTTCGCACAAAGATGTTTTGAGAACATTCAAGTTTATTATGTTTCCATGTATGTCCATAAAACAAAATTTTTTTGTTTTGTACATAAACTTAAATGTTCTAAAAAATGACTAAAAAACCTGGCCAGTTTTTCACAACTAAATATAACTTCCGTGGTCAGTATTCAAGAGCGATTGCTCCCACTTCCCGACCAAGCCTGGCACTATTGAGTGCTATTACTTATAAATTAGCTAAACCAATGTTTTAGCACTATAGGTCATAGTTCTGAAGATTACTTTAAAAGCTCCAATTGTGGCTTGCTGTTCTCCAAAGTATATTAAGTATATCAAATATCATGAATATTGAGAAGTTGCTTAAAATTGAACAAAGGTCTTCAAACAGGTAAGTCTTTATACCAAAATGCTATCATGGTGTAAAATTTTTTTTTTTTTTTTTTTTTTATGGAAGTTGATTTTATGTGGAATGATCTTACAGATATAAGAAATTATTTTTAATTATTCAGTAATTTGTGTTAATATTCTTGTATGTAGATAAAACAATCTTGTTTAATTTAGGTTTATGGGGTATATTAAAGCTTCAGGCAAGCAACATTATACCTCATAAACCTAAATGCTATCCCTGAAAAATGATTTAAAACATGTTATAAAAATTATATTTAGGGATCAAAAGTATACCTAAAATGTCATGATATTATGCTCTATATATAAACTAAAGACAAAACAAAATAATATTTATTTTTTATTGTTTAAAAATCATAAAAAAAAATCTTTTTAATGATTTTTAAACAAAAAAAATGATTATTTTTGCAATTTTAAATAGTTGGATTATATTTAATTTATATGTATTAAAATTTAATACAATACAATGTATTATACAATTATTTGAGTTATGTTGTTTAATTTAAATTTAAAAAATCTAGTTAACTTTTAACAATTGATAATACATAATTTTAAATAATGAATGACTTTAAATGTAAATACAATTGCTGTGTTAGTTTTTTTCTTTAATTAAACTTGGATATGTATATGTATACGTATGTATACGTGTGTGTATGTATATGTATGTATATGTGTATATATATGTGTTTATGTGTATATCGATATATATACATATGTGTATGTATGTGTGTATATGTATGTATATGTGTGTATGCATGCATGTATGCATACATGAATGTATGTATGCATGAATACATGTGGATATGCATGTATGAATGTATGTATGCATGTATCTGGATAAGTATACGTTTATATATGTGTATGTGTATGTGTGTGCGTTTGTATGTTTATGTACATATTCATAAACCTTTATACCAGAAGTGTAGCATTGTACAGATGTATTACAGAAGAGTTAACATTATTTCAGACAAAGAAAGAACATGAAATTACATTACAAGTATTTGATCAATATTTATTAATACAATAAAGATCAATACTATAAAACGAAAAAAGTAACATTCTAATTATTTATACTTAATTGTTGACCTTGTACATGTACTTTAAAGAAAAAAAAACATACATAAAACTCATGGAGAAATTAGTCGTAGATATAGAAAATGAAGTAGAAAAACTCAATTGAAATATCAAATAATTGTCATTGAATGAAGATTACTTGATCATATATTTCAATTTTGACAAACTTTATCTAAAAATCACAGTCAAAAGTTGCATGAGACAGTTGCTATGTAAGAAGGCTATGTAATTTTATTGCAAGCACCTTTAATTTGAAACTATAACGAAAGAAATGTATAAGTTTTAACAGCGGTTCTCGGTGACAAGACCTTAAGGTCTTCTTAGAGTGTTCGCGTTCTTTATATTTATCCTTAACCTTTTCAAGGGCAATATTTCCCGTTTATATTGGTATCTTAAACGTTTGTATTTCAAATCATGTAATGAAAAACAAAAAAAAACAAAAAAAATGCGCACTCATTAAAAAAAAATAATTATCAAATTAAAAAACATCTTAGAAAGATATTTCAAAACCTATATATATAATAAACATTTTAACACAAGCATACTACAAGTAACAATGTTAAAAACTATACTACCTGTAAAATTACACCCTTATCCAACAAACTTTTTTTTTTTGCTGTCATAACAAAGTAATGAGTTTCATCTTTATAATATACAATGTTTTCCAATTCAATGCCAGTATTTTCTTTTAACTGATGAAAGAAATCTTGATTATATATGTAGGCTACACCACTTATTTCTTCAACACCTGCTTCAGCTTTAGTATATGTGTTAACAAAATTGCAAGTAATAGCAATTGCTAATTTGCCACGAAATTCTTTTCTTTTGAATTTTAAACTATTTGATTTTCCATCACAACCAACAACAACATCAAATTCAATCCCATTTAAATATGAAGAAGTAGGTTTAAACTTACATCTCCAAGCTTTACCTATAAAAGTATCAACAAAATTTTTAATTAAAAAGAATAAACATGTAAAAAGACTCTTGACCAATTTTATTTTTTATTTTAATATTAAAGTTGTAATCAGAAGATATTATTTCCATGGCAATGATATGGCAGATTAGCACTATCAACATCTAAAAGTAAAAGACCATACAGTTCAAAATTGGATTTCTTTTTTTTTTTTTTTTCTGATTCACTTCCAAAAAATTGGGAGTTAAGAAAACAAAGAAGTTAAAGAGCAAGGAAACAGTTGACAAAAGATTTGAAAACTTTAGGTTCTATGAGTCAGGAAAGCATACAAATGGGAGAATTCTAAAGGGTTGGAACGCAGGGGAAAAAACTAGACGAATAAAAGATTTTAGAGCTTGCATGGACAGATACATATGTTATATGTATCTGTCCATGCAATATATATATGTTTTTGGACCTTGTCTAGAAGAAAAAGAGCATCATTAGAAGAACCAGCTCAAATACGACAACAGTATTCCATATAGAGATAAATAAGAGATTTAAAGAGGTAGAGAATGGAATCAGAAGTAAAAAAAATAGCAAGCAAGATAAGAAAAAGCAACCTTAGCAGATGCTAATTTAGCAATGGATTATATGGTTTCCATGAATGGTCAGTAGTGAATGATAATAGTTGTTTAAAGTAAATAAGTGAGTTTTGTTGGAGTTAAAATTCACAAGCCACTGTAACCTCTAATCTATTACAGAAGTGAGATCAGATTCAAGAATACCTGTTGTTCTAAGGGATCAAAAAGAGAAGACTTTTTGTCAAGACAGGAGTATAATGTGGAGTCATCAGCAAATAGAGCCACTTTAGATGTAAGGTTGTCAGAAAGATTATTAATGTAAACAGAAAACGAAATAGAACCAAGAATAGAACCTTGAGGTACCCCGAAGGCTACTGGAAGTGAAGAAGAGTGTTGGAATTTGAGGATGACTTTAATAAAGTGGTTAGAAAGAAAACTTTCTCAGATACACCATATAAAAAAAGCTTATGGAGAAGGCCACCATGCTAAACTTTATCGAAAGCTTTAGATATGTCAAAAGCAATAACACTAGCCTCACCGCCTCCATCTAATGCTTATCTTTCAGTCACAGCAGTTAGCAAGTCAGCCATAGAACAAGAAAATCCAAAACTGATTGGTTGAAAATTTTTTGACTCAGATGGGATATGAGAAATTTGTTGATCAAAGACTCAAAGACCTTGTTAATAACAGATAGAAAACTGATCAGGTGAGAGTTGGAAGGGTCAGAATGTTCCCCAGAATTTTTAAAAATAGAATCACAAATGCGATTTTTCCAGCAGGCAGGAAAACAAGATTCAGTCAAGCACTTCAGAGAGAATTAAAAAGAATTCTGAAGAACGCTTTTGTAAGACTAAGATGGAAATGTTGTCAGGACCACAAACTTTAGAAGTTTAATTGAGATATGACTTAACCAACAGAAGCTTGAGTGATTTGAATGTTAACCTGTTTAATTGGAATGGAAGAAAAAGAATGGCCATAAGATGCTAGTCTCGAATTAGAAATAAAGTTCTTTGCAAACAGTTCTGTCTTATTCTTGGGAGATGTAATAAGATCAGCCCCATGAATGAGATATGGAATGTTACACCTACATTTGTTAATGATGCTATTGAATATTTTCCAAAAGTCTTTAGAGCCAAACTTCTGAGGTAAGATATGAGATTTAGTAAAATGAGAATAATGGAGCTTAGCATCAAATAGCACCTTTTAACATTGATTTAAAACTGATGAAAATGAGTCAGCTTTAGGCTAGGGTCTGAAAAGAAGTACAAGATGGAAAATTTATAGAGATCATTATATGGTTGGAACCACCTAAAGGTCACTTAGGGTTAGAGATAAGAAACAAATTAAGGAATGAAGGTAAGTGATTAGGGTTGTCTGGAAAACGAGTTGCAAAGTTAAAAATCTAAGTAAGAAATTGAGAAATGCAAAAGTTATGGACTTTAATGCCAGCTGAGTCAGCAGTGTTAGAACCAAGCCATTCAGTGTTGAGAAAATTAAAGTCAACATAACAACAATTTAGTAGAGGGGTAAAAAGAATAGACAGTCAATTTGATCAGAAATTACATCTAAACTTTGATCAGAAATTACATCTAAATATTCTTTGTTTCCTTTCCCTTCTATTAATGGATAGGATTTTTAACTTTAATCATGCATTGTAGCAGCTTATATTTTTGTTACAGGAAAAAACAGGACTCACATTTCCAAATAAAGTTTATCTCAAATATTACTTTTGCAGTATTTAATTAATGAGTACCTGGAACAAAGAAAAAAAATTATCTTCTGATATTCCATTTCATCCTAAACACCATAACATGTACCATGTAACATGTACAGATTTTTCATAATGAAATGTGGGCCTCAAATAAGACTATGGATATTAAGAATGGAGGGCACATGTTCTTTAAAAGACCTGCTAGCAGTGCTCAAAGTTTCATTAATATCACTAAGCATTTAGCTGGGGCTCATCAACAGTTTTCAGACATAGATCTTTAGTAGAAATTCAATTTCTAATAATACTATTGCTGGTCAAGATGCTGTTTGTTTTGATGACTCGATGTTCTCAGTTGAAATAACAAAGGTAATTGCTATTATTTCATATGCAGAAAAATTTTGTTTATTTAGATTAATTTATAAAGGGATTACATCTACTATAAAGACCAGATCAAGGAGAGGACAACCAACCATATCTTTCTTTTTATTAAGAAATGACTTATAATTAGTTGCACCCTTCACATGCAAAATGCTGGCATTTTTAAATAACCCTATTTTTGAATTATTATTTTTCAAGTTTATAATGTTTGCTTTTTCAGATAGTTGGGTCTAATGATCTTATATGCTGTTAATTTTAGATCAAAACAAAGTGTTAAAAAAATTTACAAGCATCTCAAAATGGCTCAAAATTAGACGTTTCAGGCGAGTGGACATTTTGCTTTTAGATATATCTGAGTTCAAAAAGCTGCCTATATTTTGCCCATTTATTGCAGACAGCTATTCAGAAAATTTATCTGTAAAGAATTGTGGATGAATAGAATAATGCTACAGTTAGTTTCATTTTGGCTTATTTTAGCAATTTTAGGATTTTTTCAAAGTTGAGGAGGTCATAATTTTTTTCTAATTCAACACAAGTTAATAAAAAGCACTTTTTTAAAGAGAGAACTATCCAGAAAACAGTTCTAGAAAAAATGAGACACTTGTTGAAAGTGAGAAAAAGGTTATATAGCTTTAAAGTAGTCTGTTTTGATCATTTGTAAATTGAGGGGAGCCACTGTGTCATTTTTCTAAGGCTAAAATTTCTGAACTGTTGTTCTTGGAAGTCTGAAATTTTTATTTTAACCTATCTACATAATGCACATAACAATATATAAAAATCAGAGATAATCACCCACAGGCCATTGGTTGAAATATAATGATTTGATTCTGCTTACATAATTAATTTTTATTTCATTAAAAATAAATATAGCTTTAACTTTACGACGTGCAAGTAACTTAATTTTGTGTAAAGTACTCACCATTGTCTCCACGATTTTACTTTGTGCTACTTTTTTAGTAGCATTAATCCATAAATCTCAGAAATTTTTGACATTATTTTCACATTTGCATCTTTTTCTCGATATTCCTTTCACAATTGCCCAGTAAGATTCCATAACTCGCTGCTCAGGACAGTTTGGTGGAACAATATTGACTCTTTTTTCCGTATATCACTGAATTACTTTTTTGGAATTTTGGATTAATGCCAGATCTGGCCAAAATAAGGTTGATTATTTGTGCTTTTTAATTAGAGGAAGAAGTCATTTATTTATGCTTTTTAATTAGAGGAAGAAGTTAATTTTTCACTCACATATATATCTGGTGTCAAGCATTTACTCACATTTAGATCTGGTGTCAAAGATTGATTTGTTATGAAAGGAGAGCTTTTAAAACCTCAACTGCAAATTGCCTGCCATACAAGGAACTCAAAAGTGATTTTCTTATTCAAATGTACTTAAATTTGTCAGAAGCTTTATAACGTTTTGACTGATAATATTATTGATTACATGGAAGCTTCGAGTGATCTTTTTTACAGTAAGTTACATCGTCTTCTAAAATGCATAATTTTAGAAGACGATGTAACACACATAAAACAACACATTTCCAGTTTTCCCTACATAATTAAATAATTAATATATAATTAACTTAAAACTAGTCTTTAATGTTTCAATTTCTCCAAGTAAATATATCTTAAATGGACAAATAACCAAGAAGTTTGACTTTGAAAACTCAATGTTTATAAAGTCAAACTTCTTGGTTGTTTTGTCATTAGTTACTTTCATTTATAAACATGTTGTTTTGTCACAAGTTACTTTCATTTATAAACATGTTTATTTATAAATGTTTATAAATAAACATGATACAAGACAAGTTTCTGAAAAATTTCAGAAACTTGTCTTGTATCATGTTTATTTATAATATAGAATGGATCTTTTGATTTGCAATGGTCATGCATCCAGCACAAAAATTTCAAATCATTTCAATATGGTTTACATTTGAGGCAATTGATAATTTAAAAGTCATGTAGCATAGAGCATACAGACCATTTGTTGCAACAGTTTAATCATTGCAATAAAAATATACTTTTTGAGTTGAAAATAATAGTGCACATATTGATTAGGAGTAATTTCATGTCAAATCAGCAGAAAAAAACAAAAAGTTGTTCCATGTTTTGGATTTTGCTAATTTTTTTTATGTTATAGGGTTCATGAAAATTAGGAAAATCTGAAATTTGGAACCTCTAAATCTTTACTTAAGATATTCAGGATTCAATTTTCTTATTTATGCTGACTCGGCATCTTTTGAAAAATACTTTAATATTGTTAAATAGCAATATTTTATGAACCAAATGAAGTTTTGTTCATAGACAATCCATGATCTTATATCTGCCATGTGGAGACATGAGACATACTTTATCCATATATC